AAGTAGGTTAAACTATTTCTTGATTGATGTTTAAACTTTGGGAATAAAGGATGTATCAAGTTTTAAAACAACTTTGTCCTGATGGAAAATCAAAAAAGGATAATCTGCATTAAGGGCCTGAAGTTCACCAAAACGTTTTGCAGTGGTAATTGTCACCAAAAACAATGTTTTGAAAGCGAGTATCTTGAGAGATTTTTTTTTAGGGGTTAAAAGGGAGCCTCATACAACGCAGTTAACACTAGATTGAGATCCCATGATGGAAAAGTTTCCCTGATGGCTGACACCAAGAGAGACAAAGCTTTGAAAAACCTGGAAATTAGAATATTCGAAGCCAAACATCTAAACGAGAAGAAACTGAGGGCAGAAATTTGAGGCAGGTCTAAATCCTTTGGCAAAGCCCATCTGTAAGAATTTCAGAATATTCTCGATGGAAGCTGATAAAGAATTTTCCTTGATCTTGAAACACCAAATACACAATCGCTTCGATATTCTAGAATAAATCTTGGACGTGGAATCCTTCTTGGCAGACATTAAAATGTCAATAACTTCAGAAGATAAGCCTTTATCTTTTAATATCTGGTATTCAGAAACCAGTCCATCAGGTTGAATTTCTTTAGAGTTTGAAGGGGTACCAAGGAGTGTTTCAGCATATCCACGGATAGAGGACGTTTCCAATAGGCTGAATTGGGGACATTTAGGAAAGTGGAAAACCAACTCCTTTTTGGCCACCAAGGCAGAATTATAATTAACGTTACGTCTTCTATCATGATCTTCTGTAGGATCCTTGGAATTAAAGGAATTGGCGGAAAAATATATGCTAGGTTAAAATTCCATGGAATAGAAAAGGGGTCTATGACCTCAGTCAGTCTGACAGGTTCAGAGAAGCAAATCTTTTAGTTTTACTTTTTGTACCTGAAGCCATACGGTCTATTTCTATATAACCACATTTTCTGTTATTTCTGTTTTAAATGATCTGAGGGCATCTGCTAGGATGTTGAATTCTCCTTTTATATGCACACCGATATTGACACATGGTGACATTGGGACCATATCATGATCTGTGAGCATAGATTTTCTAATTCAGCAGAACCTGTTCTTTCTTGCTTGTTGATGTAAACTGCTGTTGAATTGTCCAACCTGATCTGGATAGGATGATGATTCTGTATCTGTTTCTGAAAAGCAAAAAGCGCCAGCCAAACAGCCTACAGTTCCCTGTAATTCAATTACCTTTTTGCATGTCTGATAATCCAAATTCCTTTTTTTTTTTTTCTTGCACGAGTGCATCCCAGCCGTAACTTGAGGTGTCTTTTATAATTTTGCACAACTTTATGTGGAAAGAAAGGCCTTGCTGAAGGAAATGTGCCGAAGTCCACCACTGGAAATTCTTCAGGGTGAGACTGTTGAGTTTCATAAGACTGTCTAGGCTGTCTGTTTGTTCCAAAAGGTTAGAATATTTCTTTGAAGAGGTCTCATTCTGACCTTTGCCCAATTCACTGCCAGAATGGAAACAGTGAAAAGACCCAGCAAATTCATTGCTTCTCTGATTGAGCAGACACATATTTCTTTGAATAAATACATATAATATATCATTATAAATCATAGGATATACAGGGAGTGCAGAATTATTAGGCAAATGAGTATTTTGACCACATCATCCTCTTTATGCATGTTGTCTTACTCCAAGCTGTATAGGCTCGAAAGCCTACTACCAATTAAGCATATTAGGTGATGTGCATCTCTGTAATGAGAAGGGGTGTGGTCTAATGACATCAACACCCTATATCAGGTGTGCATAATTATTAGGCAACTTCCTTTCCTTTGGCAAAATGGGTCAAAAGAAGGACTTGACAGGCTCAGAAAAGTCAAAAATAGTGAGATATCTTGCAGAGGGATGCAGCACTCTTAAAATTGCAAAGCTTCTGAAGCGTGATCATCGAACAATCAAGCGTTTCATTCAAAATAGTCAACAGGGTCGCAAGAAGCGTGTGGAAAAACCAAGGCGCAAAATAACTGCCCATGAACTGAGAAAAGTCAAGCGTGCAGCTGCCACGATGCCACTTGCCACCAGTTTGGCCATATTTCAGAGCTGCAACATCACTGGAGTGCCCAAAAACACAAGGTGTGCAATACTCAGAGACATGGCCAAGGTAAGAAAGGCTGAAAGACGACCACCACTGAACAAGACACACAAGCTGAAACGTCAAGACTGGGCCAAGAAATATCTCAAGACTGATTTTTCTAAGGTTTTATGGACTGATGAAATGAGAGTGAGTCTTGATGGGCCAGATGGATGGGCCCGTGGCTGGATTGGTAAAGGGCAGAGAGCTCCAGTCCGACTCAGACGCCAGCAAGGTGGAGGTGGAGTACTGGTTTGGGCTGGTATCATCAAAGATGAGCTTGTGGGGCCTTTTCGGGTTGAGGATGGAGTCAAGCTCAACTCCCAGTCCTACTGCCAGTTCCTGGAAGACACCGTCTTCAAGCAGTGGTACAGGAAGAAGTCTGCATCCTTCAAGAAAAACATGATTTTCATGCAGGACAATGCTCCATCACACGCGTCCAAGTACTCCACAGCGTGGCTGGCAAGAAAGGGTATAAAAGAAGAAAATCTAATGACATGGCCTCCTTGTTCACCTGATCTGAACCCCATTGAAAACCTGTGGTCCATCATCAAATGTGAGATTTACAAGGAGGGAAAACAGTACACCTCTCTGAACAGTGTCTGGGAGGCTGTGGTTGCTGCTGCACGCAATGTTGATGGTGAACAGATCAAAACACTGACAGAATCCATGGATGGCAGGCTTTTGAGTGTCCTTGCAAAGAAAGGTGGCTATATTGGTCACTGATTTGTTTTTGTTTTGTTTTTGAATGTCAGAAATGTATATTTGTGAATGTTGAGATGTTATATTGGTTTCACTGGTAATAATAAATAATTGAAATGGGTATATATTTGTTTTTTGTTAAGTTGCCTAATAATTATGCACAGTAATAGTCACCTGCACACACAGATATCCCCCTAACATAGCTAAAACTAAAAACAAACTAAAACTACTTCCAAAAATATTCAGCTTTGATATTAATGAGTTTTTTGGGTTCATTGAGAACATGGTTGTTGTTCAATAAAAAAATTAATCCTCAAAAATACAACTTGCCTAATAATTCTGCACTCCCTGTAAAAAAGCAAATAAAATGGCAACAATAAAAAGAATAGTAGCAGATGCTTTAAAAACAGTTAAAAAATATCAGATCTTCTGAGAGAGTCCATATGGAAAGTCTATAATTCAAGTGGATAAATAAAACCAGAGGTTTGATAAAATGAATCCTCATATAGTCCACAAATTGTAGCAAATGGGCAATACACACACTACTGTGTATATAAAGATGCACAGCTGTGAGACCCTATTGCCAAATGTAATGTAATTTACTTACAATAAGTAAAAATAAATTTACAACAAAATAAATAAAAACAAACAAGTAATACAGTACCTTAAAGATTAGGTGTACACTCAGTATTGGAAATTAATGATAAAAACCACCACTGGTGTGCATATGGAGCGCTTACAAATTTGTTGACTCACCCATATGGGTTAACATACATATGGAAAACGTGACTCATAGCGATATATCTGAAACAAATGTAAATGCAACAAATAGTGCAGATAACGTTTTCAATAAGTGCAGTGAGGGAATAAATGAAAGAAAAAGAGAGGGAAATGCTTCAGTGTAAAAAGTTCCAAGTCTTTAATTTGACTGATTGGTTACTTAATCCACCAATCAGTGCTCTGTGTCATTTTACACAGCTTGGGAAAATTCCAAAGAACTTTCCCACGCTGTGTAAAATGACAGAGGACTCCGATTGGTGGATTTCAAGCCAACCAATCAGAGTGCTGTGACAGGTAAATGTAGAGAATTCTGGGTGCACCTGGGAAACAGGTGCTGCTGGGTTATATAGCCTCCAAGGTCCAGGAAAACAAATTTATTTTTATTTTATTTTTTTAAATAAATTTAATTAGCATTTTGGCACCTGAATACTGAAATCACATTGTGCGAGATTCCACAGTGGAACTCATCGTAACCTGCACGTGCATTCCACCACCAACACCTCCCAGCCTCTGCGCAACTTTGCCTTACCCCACATAGTATTGGCGGAATTCATAAGTATCGGTGGAACGCACGCCAGGTGCCAGTCCAGAGCCTAAAGCGAGCTCACCCACCAGCCATCCCAAGGAGTAGACCCGAAGCAGAGCCTCCCAGGCTGCAGCACCCTCACCTTGATTCAACTTACACAAGGGTAAGCCTGAGAATCTCACCTGCTTGAGGGTGTTAAAAGGCACTTTATAGTGCCAAAGGAGATTTGGGGGAGGTTCGCCTGCCATTTTTTCCCTACGGATTAGAAATCCCTGTTGTAATGCACTGCTTCTAATCTGAAAGGAAAATTTTACTTATGAAAAGCCAATTGTTTTGTATTATGTTGTGAATACCATTGAGGTATAATGCTTCCTTTGCACTGGACACACCCATCACCTTACTGCACACTTGGATTTATAAATAAATCCAATTTTCTACTTCAATTCCTGGATCAGCATTACCTCACTGGGAATTGGCTGGCTTTGAATACCTCTGCCATAATGCCAGTCTACGTCCACACTGCATAGCCAAGATCTATAAGAAGCTTAATTTAAACAGTTATATACTCATTCCCATACTTCCTGTACAGGAAATGGGAATGAGACATACATTTAAAGCAGATGACTGGTGGAAAATAGCACTTCTGCTTCTGAGAACTCAAGTGAATTCTTACAAAATGGATGGTATTTCATTCCTGGACGTTTTTCGGTTTTGCTTCTCAGTGAAGCATAAGAAATGTATAGGTGATTGCATAGTTTTATTGTTAACACATATCGTAAAAGTGTTCTTAAAGCAATATATCCAAGCTTCACTCCGTATTTTGTCACCCAACTTACTTTGAATAGAATTTTACAGACTGCAAAAAACACAAAGCATTCAAGTTTTAAAAAGTTTATTTAAATTTACAAAAAGAAATTATTTTTTTTTACAATGCTAAAATTAGTAGACTTAAAAAGCACATCCGAACCACTTCAGAAACAAGAATTTTTAATGTCCTCCTTATTGCAATGTGAAACATTTAAAATCAGAAACTGGCTTCTAGATGTACATCTGTAGAATTGCACAGTATAAAGCTGAATTATCCTTACATAACAAAAATTAGACTCTGCAAAGAGCTATTTAGCATAAACTAGAGATACTTAATTAGGACTAAGGAATTCAGTACAAGGTTACTAGGCTCAATATAAGCAAGAGTCAAGGATTCCTCCCTGCTGAGGAAAAATGTAGAAAAGTTTACCTACAAGAAAGTTTGTGTAGATTTAAAAAGACACTATAGTTCCCCAAACAACATGAGCTTAATGAAGCAGTTATGGTGTTTAGTTTATGCCCGTGCAGTCTCACTGCTCAATTCTCTGGAGCGAAATCACTTTGTTTACACAGCACTGGTCACACCTCTATGCATGCGACTTACACAGCCTTCCTAAACACTTCCTGTAAAGTGAGATCTGTTTAATTTAGCATTCATTATCTGCCGGAACTGTTAATAGCTTGCTAGACCTTGCGGGAGCCTCCTTTGTGTGATTAAGGTTCAATTAACAGCAGTGGCTAAAAACATTGAAAATTAATCCATTTTTTAAAATGCATGTTGTGTCCGTCACAACCAGAGAAGGTGTGGCTAGAACTGAACATAAACAAAAGTGATTTAACTCTTAAAGGTCAGAAAATTGAGCAGTGAGGATAACAAAACTGCTTCATTAAGCTAAATTGGAATTGGTGTCTATAGTATTCCTTTAATAAATCAATAGTTCTGCATGTGTTCAAAACAATACAAAAAAACCCCACACACTTTATGTGGAACAAATGAACAAATCAGATAAAATACAGCTTATTTGCTAGGAGTTAGTGGAACCATAATTTTTTTTTCCTTACATCAAATAGTATGTATTGAACACTTAAAAAAACAAAAAAAAAAACAGAACTCAGTCCTGTAACGAAAAGTCAAACTGTTCAAAGTCCCCTCTGAATGACTTTGCAAGAGATTCCTCCTCAGCTGGACTTGATTTGCACTCTTTCCAATGTGCTCTGGTTGGAATATTCAGCATTGCTTCACTGGCAAGTACCTCCCTGTAAATAAAAAATAAACACGGAAATCAGGCAGTTGCCCATGAGATCATGCAGAGATGAGAATTCTGGGAAAAGAGTTATTCCACAATGTAAAAATCTTTTAGTAAAAATTGCTCCACAGTACTGCACAAAGTATCAGTCCCTCATAATAATGCAAGACAAGTCATGTTTGCATAAATATGTAATTTATAGCATTTATCACAAACAATAGTATTTTCTCACCCTCTAAATACCCCATCAGCAATTGCATGTACATCCGATGCTACCACGTACAGGTGATCTCTGTGCGCTAAAATCTCTTAACCTTCACACCTCCAGAATGCGTCTAGATGCAGAAAGGCCCAAATCCAAAAGCTAGTGAAGATACATATCCCCCCCTCTCCCCCCCCGGACTTGCAAATAAAGGTGAGTAGACTGTCCTCGTGGCCTCTCTGTTAGCCCCCTGCAATACATACCTTGTAATACGTGAGGTATACCTATCGCTACCCAGAGGCTACAAATACCGACATGCTGTTACTAATGGGAAGGAACATTCTTACTCTGATAAATCAAATTATATTCATAAAATTATTTTGTATCTCGCCATCACCTGATTATATCGATATGTTATATAACCTTAACATTTATTCTCTCTTCTGTAATCTATTTGTCAAAAAAATATAAAAAAAAATAAAAAAAATAGTATTTTTCTTATATTTTTGACTCACTCAAATTTTGATTTAGAAAATCTCTCCATTTCCTTAGAGTATAATTTATGTATGGTTTGTGATAATTGTTTATATGTAGATGGAAAGTTCTCATCTGAAAAGAAGTTATGTAGTTTAACTCTTAAAAATAAAAAGGTTTCACATTATATATTGCAAAACATGCTTGTAATTAGGGCTTATTAAATCATCACAAAAAAAAAAATATATATCTCTTGAGTTTATTAATTTTTAAATAATTGCATTCTATATAAAGTTTGTTTCAGTTTGTGTATTTTTACTGCTGAAGCAGCATGGACATTCAGTGCTCACCATCTCTCGCACCACTAGTGTTTTGAGCACACAGGTGGCAAAGTCTCTATGTCCTTGCTCCCTTGCAAATAAAGTTGAGGAAATCTTAGAGAAAACATGTCACACTGTTCTCAGGGGATTTATCACTACATCTATGAACTCTACTCTGTCTGAATCTACCTCCTACTGCAGACTGGAATATGCACTCCTTCCACTGAGAATTCATTGGACGATCAATGCTGTTTGCTGGGAAATTAATCCAAAGGTCTGACGTCCCTAGGAACCAGCGAGTGATTTGCAAAAATACTATGCGTGTCATTTGGGATTTTTCATTTGTATTTACTCTTCAACTAGTAAAATACTAACATTAGTATTTTTCCTTCGTGCATTTCTTTGTTTTTTGAGAACCTGTTTTCAAGGCAATCCTGTACCAGTTTTACTATATTTGCACCTTAAAGAGATTTGTAGAATATCTGTGCAAAAGATAGTTCCATTTCAAGATGTTGCACTTTTGAACCCAGTCTACCTTGCAGCTTTCTATATATTTTTGCACTTTATCAGTTGACAGTTTCCATAAAAAGCTATACTAGTGGTCTACAAATTATACACAAAACAAAAGCTAGATTTATGCCCAACCCCTCTTGCTTAGACAATGAAGCTTAAACAGCACAAAACATACCTTCCAAATTCTAAGGGAAAGTTTTTCTTTATTCTGTGAAATAATTTCTCTCCACTATCCAACTCTACATAAAAGTATGGTGTCCCTGGCTGTACAATCTGAAAAGGAAAACATTAAAAAGTTTCAGCAAAAACATTAAATCCTATCAATTATCTGCATTTTATATGTCCAATGAAGGACACTGATGTACCAAATATGACAGATTCAAACTGGTGTCAATGTAAGAAAAAAAAAAAAAATTGTATATATGTGTGTGTGTATATATATATATATATATATATATATATATATATATATATATATATATATATATATATATATATATATATATACACACACATATATACACACACATATATACACACACACATATATATATATATATATATATATACACACACACACACACACACACATATACACACACACACATATACACACACACACTCCAAACAACATAATCTTGCTTAAGTGCTTTAGGAGTTAACAATGAATCCCCTCTCGCACACGTTACAAGACTGCCAATTTCAAGAGAAATTGACACTTTTCCAACTTGTCTGTGATGCACATTTCTGGCTGTCAGACAGCAGGGAGGGTGCTCTTTCTAACTCACTTTGAGTCCCAGCACAAAGCGCAAATGAGGCTTCGTATAGTCAGTCACCGGTTTCTGTATTTCCCTTTCACAAGCATTGCGGGGACAGCACAGCAATTGCTGCTCATGCACAGAGCCATCAGTACTTGCAGTGAATGAACCTGGGTTACAGTTAACTCAAAGGATTATACACTAAAGTGAGAATTTCTGTGAATTTAAAGTGAATTTCAAATTTAAGTTCAAAATAGCCAAACTGGAAAAAAGTCTCTTAAAGGGACACGCCACAAAAAAATTATAATTAACTGTTGCATAGCACTGCAGCTATTTACATGATAATGTGGAATGAATCTGCACTAAACACCCACAACTTTTTATTCTTGTATGCAATGATGGACTGTGAGCACTGGACTAATATCTCCCCCATTGCTCGCAGTCTAGGATTACCATTAACATAATGCATAAGTTTCACTTCTTGTTATCCTTACCTTTTATCATATCAGGGTCTGAATACATGGGCACAGAGCACGCCGACTTTAGACAAACACCTCAAATTAAAAAACATTTAAAAAAAAAAAAAAAAAAAAATTAAGATTTTTCTCATACTTGTTTGATATCTGTGTGCTCTGGGATTTCCAATAACTCTATGTTCTGTTCCTGCGCTTGTACAATGAAGGTTTCTTTAATGTCCTCCGTAGTACAGCATTGCAAAGGCAGAGGAACCACCTGGATTTGGGCATAAAAATATCTGATTAAACATGTTTGTAATGGAGTTGCAATTGATACATATAAAACTAATATGAAAACAAACCAAATGAAATAAAGTGTTATACACTTGAGAAAATTTGACTTTTAAAAACAAATACCCATTAAGAAAAGCAGATTTGTTTAGCAGTCTTCTTAACCTAGAAGGTTTAATAGATCAACACACATTCTATAGATGAGAAAGTTAAAATCATCATTGGGACAAAATCCCTCAGAGAAGGTGGTAATCACTTAAGACAAGATCTGTCTTTTCAGACTTAAACTAATAAGGTATAATGCTGTAAACTGTAAGAGCAGACAATAACAGGGAAAGAAAAATCAAGGTACTGGACATGATTTCTGCAAACAATTGCTCTAATGATCTATGTGATGTACCAGGCCAATCTGTGACTTTAAACAGATGGACCATTTGAGATAACATCACAATGTCTAAAAACATCAAAAACTTCACAAACAGCCATGCAGATTTGAACTTTATCAGCAATACCTTCAGTTAAGAGGTTCAAATATCATTTAGCTCAAGCACTTACTTGAAGCTGCATGTGCTGACTCTTATAGTTTCTTTCAAACATCACATATCTCTTTCCTTTTGTCCTGAAAAATTTTCTTAGCGCATTCTTGTATTTTTCAACTTCTTCAATCACTTCTGACGAGAGGTCAACCATAGATTGATAGTGCCCTACTGGTAAGATTAATACGTGATCTGATATTAAGCCTCCTTTAGCAAGAGCAACATAGCACTAGAGAAAAGAAAAATACATTAAATAAAAACCACAAACTACATCATTCGAGGATTAGACTACCGTATATACTCGTGTATAAGTCGATCTCATGTATAAGTCGAGTGCAGTTTTGTGACCAACAATTGTGAAATATGCTATGCCTCGTGGATAAGTCGAGGGTAAAACTTGGGGCTATGAAATTCTGTGATTTTTATAATTATATACACACACACTCATACAAACAAACACTCTGCATTATATATACACACACACACACTCATACAAACACACACTCTGTGTATATAATGCAGAGTGTGTATATAATGCAGAGTGTGTATATAATGCAGAGTGTGTGTTTGTGTAGTGTGTGTGAACTAGGTGGGGGGAGGGCATTTTTATTTTAATTTTTTTTTATTTTAATATTATTATTTTTTTATTATTTTAATTTTTTTTGTCCCCCCTCCCTGCTTGTTAACTGGTCAGGGAGGGGGGCTATCTTAATCCCTGGTGGTCCAGTGGCATGGGCTGTGAAGTGGGGGGGCCGGCAGGAAGCATTTACTTACCTTTCCTGCAGCTCCTGTCAGCTCCCTTCTCCACCGTTCCGGTCAGCTCCACAGTAAGTCTCGCGGTCTGGTTGCCGCGCGGATCGTTGCCATGGCACTGACGGCCGCGGCTCTCTAAGTTGCCATAATACAGACAGTGACTCGAGTATAAGTCGAGTGGGGGTTTTTAAGCACAAAAAATGTGCTGAAAAACTAGACTTATACTCGAGTATATACTGTAATATACAAAGCTAGGAGAGGTCAAACGTGACACACTGCCAGCTTGTGTGTCCAAAAAAGAAAACACACTAGTGGTTGTCCAGGATTGATTTTTAGAGTGCTTTATTCATTTAAGATGTTCACATGATAAAAGGAAGGAGTCTTCTGTGATTATCCTTCTCAATTGGTCAAACACATACCATGTCTGTAGCTTAGGAGGATGCATGGAATAGTTGTGCCAATTTAGGTGCTATATTGGTAAAACTGGAGAGGCGAAAAATATTCATTACACCCTTTTGTAAGTTTTCCAAATACTTACGTTATCTCCAATGCTGACCACCAGGTGCTTCTCAACTTCAGGACTTGCAAGACAAAACCAACAGGGCCCAGTCGGTTGCGCTTAAAAAAAAAAAAAAAAAATTAAATTCCAAAAAGCTGAACAAGTACAGTTGCAATGAACTTAAGATTGCCATAACCACAACGTTTAGAAGAAAGAAAAAAAATGTTATATGTTGGTGAGCATGAAAAATTGTTGCCTTGTAGAATGAATAGTTCATATGCTGTAGGATTCATCATTAATAACACTAACCAAGTACAACTTTGTTCTCACAAGGAAAAGCTAATTTAGTGGAGTTTCAATTAAGTGAATCGAAGTGAGTTTTTCACTTGGGCATGTGACATTTGACATATATAAGGATATCAAAATGTCATCAGATGCTGCTTGTGAGGTAATCTATGATTTGCACTTTACACCCATAATGATTCTCTATGATAATCATTTGATTGGACGAAGAGTTGAACAGATGTCATGGAAGATGGATCTGCCACCTGTATGCAGTGTGTCGAGGACCTGGGAAACCAGGTTCTTTTTTTAAGTTAGGGTTAGCCTGAATCTAACCAAGGACTAGAACACTATAGCATTGGGAATATATGTTTTTATTGCAAATGCTATGATGCTTAGCATGTTACCAATTTTCTTGCATCATTCTTGGTAAAAGGGAGTAAAAGTTTATATGTAAAAGATATATTGGAAGTTAAACGCATACAGGTTGTCTGAAAAGCAACCCACACATTCCATTCTTTAACCCCTTAAGACCGCAGCCAAATGTACAAGTTGTGATCAAAACAAAAATGTTGTTAAAACCTGGCATTTGCGCTATATGTCTGTCCAACCTCAATTCACCCCTTTCATATTAAATACACCCACACTTATTATATATCATTTTATTCAGGGGAAACAGGGCTATCATTTAACAAATATTTAAATATGGAACATAATTTAATATGAATAAAATATAAAAAAAAAATATGGGAGAAAATAAGATTTTTTTTTAATTTTCTTAGTTCTACGTGACATTTTAACTGTGAATGTCAAAATACTGTTTGCTTTTACTGCAATCAAATGCACATTTTTGTATTCAGTGATGTCTCACGTGTAAAACAGTACCCTCTATGTACAGGTTTTATGGTGTTTTGGGAAGTTACAGGGTCAAATATAGCGTGTTACATTTTTCATTTTTTTCACATTGAATTTCGCCAGATTGGTTACGTTGCCTTTGAGACCATATGGTAGCCCAGGAAGAAGAATTACCCCCATGATGGCATACCATTTGCAAAAGTAGACAACCAAGGTATTGCAAATGGGGTAGGTCCAGTCTTTTTTAGTAACCACTTAGTCACAAATACTGGCCAAAGTTAGTGTTAATATTTGAAAATGCAAAAATCTAAATTTGAACGCCAATTTTGGCCAGTGTTTGTGACTAAGTGGCTACTAAAAAAAAAAAAAAAAAAAAAAAAGACTGAACTTACCCCGTTTGCAATACCGTGGGTTGTCTACTATTGCAAATGGTATGCCATCATGGGGGTAATTTTCATTCCTGGGCTACCGTACGGTCTCAAAAGGCAACATAACCAACCTGGCGAATTTTAATGTGAAAAAACTAAAACGCAAGCCTTATATTTGACTAACTTTTTAAAACACCATAAAACCTGTACGTGAGGGGTACTGTTATACTCTGGAGACTTCGCTGAACACAAATATTAGTGTTTCAAAACAGTAAAATGTAACAGTTATATCGTCCGTGTAAGTGCCATTTGTGTGTGAAAAATGCAAAAAATGTCACTGACGATATCATCGTTGTAATACATTTTACTGTTTTGAAACACTAATATTTGTGTTCAGCGAAGTCTCCCGAGTAAAACAATACCCCACATGTACAGGTTTTATGGTGTCTTGGAAAGTTACAGGGTTAAATATAGTGCTAGCATATTAAATTCCCTGAACTTTGGCCTGGGTTGTCAGGCAGGTCCTGCAAATTGTAATTAATAAAATGACCTAATTATGTAAAATTATTACATAAATATATATACGTAGAATATATAGATATCTCTATATATAATTTTTTAAACGTATTTACATATTTAATTATACATAAATATATATATATACATTGAAAATTATATATATTTTTAAGCAATATTGTAATATATATATATATTACAATATTGCTTAAAAATATATATAATTTTCATTATATATATTTTTAAGCAATATTGTAATATATATATATATATATATATATATATATATATATATATATTACAATATTGCTTAAAAATATATATAATTTTCAATGTATATATATATATATATTTATGTATAATTAAATATGTAAATACGTTTAAAAAATTATATATAGAGATATCTATATATTCTACGTATATATTTATGTAATATTATATATATATGAGATCCAAGTATATATTTTACACTATTTTAACTTATTTTATTTTCAGGCAATGGGGAGTACCTGTCATTACAGGCACTCCCCCTACTGGCAATGCTTTGGACGGCTATGCCAACCATGTGATCGCGAGTTCCTCGAAAGGACCTCGCGATCACATGGCCCAGGAGGGCCGAAGGGGGACTCCCACGTGAGTCCCCATACCGCGATCGCCGGGCGTTCTATGCCCCCCTGTGGCGTTTAGAGCCATCTAAATAGGGACGGCATAGAACGCCCTGCGGTCTTAAGGGATTAAAGCTAATGGGAATTCTGTGCAAGTCTTAATTACAGGAGAAGAGGAAAAAAAATTGACAGCACTTACGGTGTTTTCTGGGTTGCTTTTTTTGGAATTGTTGACGGCCAATTCCATCAGACGGTCTTTTTTTTCCATGCTGCTTACTCAAGTCAAAGAAAAACTGCTGTGTTGGTTCTTCCTAGTACAGTTTGAAAGAGGATTGAGAGGCATGTACAATACATTAATTCAAAAGTAAATATTAACAGACCTCTGTGCATATTGCATGTATACTAAAAAGAGAATATATATATATATATTATATCTATATATATCTATCTATCTTTATCTGAACATGTGCTGAATTTTAAAAAGTTACAGACATTTGTCTCAACCACAATGCAGTATAGAATTGCTTTCATATTTAGAGAAACATGCATTAGAGTAGGAAGTTACACTAATTTGTCTAGGGAAATCCTGCTGCCATGTATACTTGCTCAATTGTAGTGCAAGTATAATAAAAAAAAACAAAAAAAAAAAACCTCAAACACACTTTGCACTACTGTTCTTTGCTTTTAATAACCTGTAACCTTCATGGAACGTGAAGATCTGTTTTTTAGAGCTGCCATGCAGAAAATTTTGTCTGTCAATTAACAACCTTGGAGGGAACATATCAATTTTCCAAAAATTTTAACGAAAATAAATTCTCCATTTACAATACCTCCTCTTCAGCTCCAGATCCTTTACTCTTTGGCGTATCTTTCTCAGACTTCCGGTAAGGGTTTTCAGTAACATCTTGTGGCTGCTTGACAAGTTCTGTTGAGTCCATCACACACATTGGCACAATGCTAAATGCATAGATACACTGGAAAATAAATGATACTTCTGATATTCTAAGCGAAAACCATATTAAATCAATCAAATGCAATAAGAAATTAAGAAAAGCAATTAGTGGGTAAAATTTGAAGTTTGTTTCCGCCCACTAAACACATGTTGTGGTACATAGATATCAGCGTTACATAATTTAGGACAAATTTTACTTTCTAGTTATATTATTAAAGTGCCAAATTCAGCAGTGCTGTACAATAGATGGACTAAAACAATTAGTTGCAACAATTAAAGTTGCATGTACAGGCACAGAAAGTGCTGAGGGTCCTGCTCAAACAAGCTTGCATTTTAAGCACAGCAGTAATTATGAAAGAATAGTTGTCCGTTCCTCTACTGCTGGATATGTACTGAACAAAACAGAATGTCTAATCCCTTCGTGACCAAGGTTTCAGAGGGTCCACGCATTTAAAAGGATGCCTTTTTTTGCACTATTATACGCTTGTTGCATGCTGGTTCACCAGAATGTAATACTTTCTGTTAAAGTTCACCTACATAATATATTGTTTTTAAAGGGCAGAAAGTGCTTCTTATACGCATAAAAATACATAGCATTTAACAAAAAAATAATTTGTTTTACTTTTTTTAATTCACTGCCATGGAAACCTGGCATAAGAAGAGAAAGACATTGCTTAATTTATCTTCTCTATGCTTTCTCTTTGCAGAATGCCTGTTGCAAAAGACAAGATTATAAAAATAACGGAGAGGGAACCAAGATAGAGGTGCAGTATAAGAGGCTAGACACAATACAAGCAAATATTTGTCAAATATAGGAATAAGTATACAATCCTGGAAAGTATCCGTTTCCCTTTAAGGTCAAACCTTTGTAAAATTTAGTCTGTGGAAACTAACTTTATTAGCAGTCACAAACCCAAAAACCATGAAGCAAAAAGTATAGATTACCTCTGGTATTTAACTATCATTTTGACACTTTCCTTTAGCCATTTAATCACCCACCTCTGCAAACAAATGAACTGTATATTCGTTTTTACACAAAAATTAATTTACTTTTCATGAGGAATTTCAGACCTTGTCATTCACTAAAGTGAGAATCCAAACCAAATTTCAGATCATAATAGCCAAAGTGGAAACAGGTGCTTCATCCCATGGCCCTATTTAGCTCTGTACTGCAAAGAACCCCAGATGAAATTTCCCCCCCCCAAAGTAAGTGGGTTAATCTCATAAGAGCAGACATTTAGCTGTTAGAGTAGGACCTGACAAAGATGGGGTACATTGACGTTGTGACAGGATTATGCAATGTATGATCATACAATGTAACTAAACCACCATTATTTTTGCCTACATTAGGTGTTTTGGAAAAAAAAAAAAAAAAAAAAAAAAAAAAAAAAAAAAAAAAAAAAAAAAAAAAAAAAAAAAAATCGGTCAACATTCAAGTTGCTGTTTAGTGGATCGGAGAGTGCGCTGGATCTTGTGTATGGTAATCCATTGAAAATAATGCCTCGGTTTACAAAATGTTTTAGCAATACGAAGCAAGTTTCCATAGGATGCATTGCACCTGGGAGGTTTATAGCACTGCCTCCTGCATGCTGGAGCCTGTGGGTAGCACGTGGCGTCGAGTGTAGAGGTGTTGGAGCGGCTTTTGCATAGAGTTTTGGAGCCATTTTTTTGGTGCATTTCTCAAGCTGTGGAAAGGTAGGGAGCTGAGCTTTGTCGTTTGCATGCCTTTTTTTGTGTGTTCTGCATTGTGGGTTCGTTTCCATGCCAGCTCAGTTTGACTTTTTTCTGACCTCCACAACTGATTAATTGTTTTTTCAATGCATTCCTATGGGAAACCGCTTTTCGGTTTACAAATTTTTTCGCAACAAGAAACGTCCCGGAGAATGCATTAAATTTGTAAACCGAAGTCCCACTGTATATAGAGATAGATATATATGGGTTTTCGGAACTTCTCCCCTCCATTATTAGATATGCCACCAAGTTGTTGGCATCTGAACAACATTTTACAAATGAACCCTATCCCTGATCATTTTGCTTGGGTAGGTATTGCAATAGCAGTGGGAGAAATCCACATAGTAATATTCTGGAACATACATATACATCTATTGAGAAATATAAAACATACAATATAATCGCAGTCTTTGCAATGCTTCCACTGTGTGCCCAGTTTTATCATCCTGTTGGTTTATAGACAATATTGATAGCATCAGTGAGCAGAACACACGCAAAGAGTAGAGATGTCGCAAACCGTTCGGGAACGGCTCGCGGCGAGCTCCGGTCAGCTGACACATCCCGGCCAATCTCCAGCAGACCCTCCCACCTCCTGGACAGCATCCATGTTGAAGCTGCCTTCAACATGGATGCTTTCCAGGAGGTGGGAGGGTCTGCTGGAGATTGGCCGGGATGTGTCAGCTGACCGGAGCTTGCCACGAACTGTTCGCAGCGAGCCGTTCGCGGGAAGTTCGCAAACGGTTCGCGACGTCTCTAGCAAAGAGTAGTCTCATGTCTGCTATAAAATGCACAACCTGAGAGATAAGTCTGGTTTCAATTGACAGATACAAGGTCATCTCCAATCAGTTTACAATTTCATTCTGCTACCTGCTTGATTACCAACACCAGCTTTCAGTTGTAAGAATTACCTTCTTCTTAGCAGGATTCCCAATGCTTGCCAAAGCTATAAACCGGCTGACGTGTTGTGCACTCTCTTGCAATACAAAATGATTTCTGTGTAAAAAACACAAAAACAGGCTTGAAACCAATATGATTACTTTTACATTTAAACAAGCACAAATGTGGGTTTCCAAGCCAAAAACAAAACAATGAATGCCTTCGCTACCAGAGGATGTAGAAAGACAATAAATTATTGTGCAAGTTCCATTAGAACCCATTTCAGTAAAGTAGCCAGGCATCAGATACAGTGTCATTCTCTAAAACTTGCATTTACAGGACTTCATCAGGGAATGGCAACTCAAAATCAGACAGACAGTGAGCCTTGTGTGGTGTTTTTACAAAAAGTAAAATATCTCATGAAAGCTCTCGCACAGTTACAATGAGCATGCAGGTCATGATGTTATTTCAGACTTGTTTGGCCAATATTTGTAATTAATATTTGTAATTAAACTGAACTTGAGTTTTACCTAGAATTCCACATGTGGACAAAGGAGAAAAAAAATAAAAAAATAATAGCCTTCATTACATGATGATGCTAAAAAAAAATAAAAAAATAAAAAACACCTAACAGTGAGTAGTTTCATCTTTATGGAGGGAAGGTATATGCACTTCTCCAGAAGCCATCTATGCGATATGGGGTCATTAAATCAAGTGAAAGTTCTTGTTATAAATTTCTATACACCAGTGTGCCTGTGCAGGCTTACCTGCTTTTCCTCTGTCACTTTGTTAATTCAATGAAACAGGAATGGTCCGAGAGAACAGCAATTGAGTTCATAGGACTCAAAGTTCCTTTGCAGGAATACAAACCTGATTTGCTAAAACAATCTACTGATGAAATATGTGATAATTGCACTGTATTATATATATTGAGATTCCTATCAAATAAGCCATATTAAAATTCCAGTCCTTTAATGATTCTCAATAAGTTTAACAGCTCATTCGTAAGGCGGGAAGGTATGGGTGCGCTAGCCCAGCACCATTGACCACTTCCTTTAGCTTTATGGAGCTAACAAGTAGAATTGTGTTTCTTTAAAAAAGGTTAATTACTGGGTGAAAAGCGTTGTGTGCTATTTTACTTTATTGTCTATTTATCACAACTTTTATAAGAAAGTTTAAGCATAATTTCTACCGCTGGACCTTCCTGTTACCCTGACATTGGGAACTCCTCTCTTTCTTCATGGGGAATATTTCACCTATGCCTTTGGATTGAGCAAAACCAATTTTTTTGCACCAAGCCAAGGGAGATATATATATATATATATATCATCCAAGAGTGGGGATTATTCCACTCAAAAGCCCTACACAAGCAGTAATCAGAAGGCTCCACTAAATACGAGTGTGCATTTTATACATATTGTATCCACTACTCTGGACATCTGACATATTACACCATATTAGTGTTATTTTGTTATTCATCTGTACTACAGCCCACTGGACCAAGGTTTCAAGCTCATATCCACAGATGGCATAGCAAAGCCTAGTTCATAGCTCCAAACACTAATGTGTTTCCTTTGTAAATATTACATCCTTTTGGTCCTACCCTACATGCTGATGAGAACGGATTTAGAGACTTGGGAAATAAATGTTCTGAGAGAGAGTTCTCCTGATATGAGCATTAAAGTCTGAATCCATAAATCGCAACCAATATTGCATCTGTTACACACACAACTTACAAAATGGAGGTGCACATTGCTCTTTAAACCCATATATTCATGTAAAAACAGAGTCAACATGAGATAAAAACTCAATTTACATGAGAGAAAATAAATGGTCCAGACTCCAGATTATTCTAAAAGCTGCACAGTTTACAAACAAATTATGCATGTGCTACACAAACGGATAGTTTCTATATTTATGTACATAGAAATGTCTTCATATATACATAAATTGCAATTTTGTTGCAGTATTTAATCAAATGTGCAAGGCCAATCATCCAAACTGCTTCTTAATTTTTTTTTCCCCATTTAGTATTATTCTACTTTGGGCTGCAGGCAACATATAGTAAAGCATGAAAAATCAAAAGTCTTACCCACCTATATGGAAGTCTTTCATAGTTCTCTCCCTCCAGAGCAGCAAAATGGTATCTGGGTTTTAGGTTGCTAGCTAGATTGGAAACTAGAGAAGATCCACATTGTTTGAGGTTTATTTCACCCTAAGAAAATAAAATAAACAAATAAAAGGATTGTTGAATAAATACTTCATTCTCCACAAGATGCATTCTTAACAAATAGTTCCTCCGGCCAATAGTACCAACTTCCGTTGTCAAAAAAATAAACACAACAAGAAAAATTCAAAAAGCACTCAGCAGAAATATCTGAATAGTAGAGTGATATTTAAAATATTCCAAGAGAATAGACCAATAAAAACACACATTTTATTAATGTGGCTTTGCCAACATTCCGACATGCATAACTATATGTAGAAATAAATAGATTAAATTAATTGTTGTACTCCTGTCCTGGATAATCATTTCCTTAACAAAGGAAAAGGGTTATACAACCGCATCATAACCACTTCATCCTGCTGAAGTGGTTATTAAGCAAGACCTCTGTAGCCTTTCTGCTATTAATTGAATCAGTGTTTGCCACCAAACGATATTCTAAAAGGCCAGCTTTATTTATTTTTTTATATGCATAATGGTTACACGCATCAGTTAGCAATAAACCCCCCCCCCCTTAATTTCCCTTCAGTTGCAGTTTTAAAGTGACATGAAAACAAACACTTATATCTTAAAGGAACACTATAGGGTCAGGAACACAAAAATGTATTCCTGACCCAACAGTGCTAAACCCACCATTAAGATGGCTTGCCCCCACCCCCTTATAAGCATGAAAACTCCCCTCATTTCCAGCGCCATGTGTGTCTGCCGGCACTTGCCCCACCCCCTTCTGACATCATCAGAATTGCGCTTTTTAGCAAATCCAATGCTTTCTCATTGCTAAAATTGGCAAGGGGTCGGGGACAAATGCTGTTTTGGCCAATCAGCACCTCCTCATAGAGATGCACTGAATCAATGCATCTCTGAGGAAAATTCAGAGTTCCCATGCAGAGCGTAGAGACTATGAACAACAGAGCTACCTTCTGTGCAGCACTGGGCCAGGAAGCACCTCCAGTGGCCATCTGAGGAGTGGCCACTTGGAAGTGTCCCTAGGGGCAATGTAAACACTGCCTTTTCTCTAAAAAGGCAGTGTTTGCATGAAAAATGCCTGAATATAATGATTATACTCACCAGAACAACTACATTAAGCTGTAGCTGTTCTGGTAACTATATTATCCATTTAAAGTGCCACCAATATAATGTTTGGACAGTGAAATAACCACAAAGAAGGGAGTAATGTCTGCCATGTTTGATCAGGGACAAGCGTTTAAAGACAATTTACATACCGGGACGTTGCCATAATTCCACACTTCTTTAGGCCATGGAGAAGTCAATAATATATCTACACCTTTGAATTTTGAATTGGAAGTTAATGACAATTTCAGTGACTGGATGTCCTTTGCAGAAAAGCAGTATGCGGGCGCAGGCTCACTACGGGACTCAATACCACTTAAATATGCTATTTGCAGACCTGATGCTCCAGTAAACACACCTTTACGACCTGAATAGAAGAGAGATTTTTATAGAATGTTTTGTATAATTTGTGATCACAAATTTAAACAGGATTATGGGAATTCAAGCATTTATATTGTAATACAAGTTTACATACCTAGGTAAGTTATATTTGTAGTCAATTCACAGCCATCAACATCCACAAAATGGTTTACAGTTTCTTGATTATTTGCTCCCAAGATGTAGGTCTGGATGGGGGCTACAACAAGAGAGACAACCAAGTCAGCTATACAGATAATATACACAAAGAAATGCTGTAAATGCTCACCATTTGTAGTTTTCTTCAAAGGAAAACTACAATAAATAAATAATTGCAGTCTTCGGGAAAGGACCCTTACCAGAAACCTGGTGAAAGGTGTCTACTGAAAAACAATAACTAAAAGCATTTTTTAGATTAGCAACACCAAAAGTGTTAATTGCTTGAGAATAGTTTAAAATAGTAGAAAAACAGATTGACTGCATCTATAATCTACTAGCATAATATCCACTAAAATAGGTTTGCTTGGAAAAGCCCCTTTAACGGCAAGTCTTCTCACCTTTCTTTGCTCCAGACTTGTAGTCTTCCCAGAGGGCTTGACTCTCCGGGCTTGTGCCAAAAAAGCTTCCAACACAGAGTAAAAGCTAAAAAGTGAAATAGGAAATAATATATGTTAAATGAGCAGGAAGTGATATAGTGGATTTGCCAGCATTATGACCTGCATAACCCTTTGTAGAAATTAATATATATTGAGTATCCAGAGAAATTAAGGGTATAGAATGAGACAGGGTTTTATGATTGGCCCATTAAAATAAGCATAATAAATGTTTTTTTGGGGAAAATTTAAATTTCCCTCCAGAAAGTGACTGCCTGAATTACCAACAAAGAGAGCAAGCCACTCACTGACTGATTCGCTACGGTGCCTCAGATGACCTCATGTGCTTCCATAGTTCCAGTCTATCAAACCAAGTGAAGAGAAAGATGCTGCCACTCTTGCCATGATCACAGCAGTGTGCGGTGACATTAGTTGAGACTCTCAGAACCTTTCGGCAAAGTGAGTGATGCCACCTACAGAGGCAAATGTACACACAAAAGAAATGATTTAAAAAGAAGCAAATAGACTTGGAGGGAAACTCTAAGCTTGAGTCAATCCCCATTTTTATAAAGCAACACTCCAATCACAACAGCCCAATGTAGTAATGTTACCAGAAGTGCCCTGGCATTGTCCCACAGCAAAAAGCAAGTCATTTCAGAAAAGTTTTAACAATTTATTTTGTTCCCATGTGCATCTGCTTCAAATCCTACTGCAGAGTTAAGCTTGGCAGATCCAGAACCATAAGTTGACTATGCTCAGTTGACACGGTCAGCCAGATGTTCCTACAGAAAAAGACCAGATGCAGGGTATGTGGCTGTGGGTGCCTGGCAGAACCCAGATAAGTTGTCAAACTGTACTAAAACATTTTGACTACTTATCATGGGATGGTGCCAGTGCACTCCTGGCATCATAACTAGTACAGAGCGCTGTAGTGGTTATAGTGCTTAGAATGTTCATTTATCATACAAAAAAATAAGAAAGACCACTTTAAAAAAGTATTGTATAAGAAAAAGCAGTGACTACTCAAGATAATCACAGCTCAGTGTCCAGAATAAACTCCCTTCAATAAATACTGTAGTTGTATACATTTTAACCATTTAATTATCACTCACTTTACCAAAGAATCAGAGGTGCAACCAAAAAAAAAAAAAAAAAATCTGATAAAAAGCAACAGTTATTTCCACACTTGGAACTGTTTGGTAACACTGGAGGACTTTAAATCATTTTACTTATTTTCCCAAAATGCTTTTTTCTTTATTGGACTACCAAAATCTATTTTTGATATTTGTACCAAATAAAACTACAAATTGCACTTCTTACTGCAAGGCCATTCTATTGCTTGGCTCATTAATTTTTTGGTGACAGCTCCGCAATCAGTATTTATAAATTAATTTAGCTGCATTTAACACGTAAATGCAATTGTAACCAGATATAAAATCAAAAGGTGATTAAAAGTCAATCAATCTCATAACATTCTTACATCAAACTGGCCACTCTTCTTCTGAATAGCTCGAACTCTATTGAACAGCACATCCAGCTTCCCGTATACATCACCACAGGTTAACCTGACAATGAAAAAGAGTATGATAAATATACTGTGCATTACTTTAAACCTCAGAACCATAGACAGGGATGTAGTATAAAGATTGTAAGTAATTAACATTTTTGTTGCATAATGAAAGACTTACAATACATACAAGGTCTTAACCATCCCACCATATAAAAATACTGAGAGGGGAAGAGATAATTAGTTTTGTAAACATGCATGTGTTCACAACACACTTCTTAAATTATAGCAGTAGAGGGACACTAAGCACTGTATCTATTAGTTTATTAAAGTGATTATGTTGCTACAATTCTAAATGCATTAAGCGTTTAAGCAGTGACATCAACTGGGAGTGTCTCGATCATCGGAAAACCTAATGCTGCAGTAACATTTCTGCACATCTATTCAATCATGGATGGCAATAATTGCCTGACAGATTTCGGCTTACTCCCGCCTATTATTGCCACCAGAATAGCAAAAGTGATTATGTCCAGTTCTGTGTTAATGGAATTCTTTTACCACTTCTATGTTCGTTAAGATGTTACACAGTTCAACTCAATGTTTAGGTTGGTGGATTTTAAACCAAGTGGGGAAATAAATTCGGGTGGTCCCCATTTACTTAAAAAAATTGAGACCCAATGGTTAGAACAAGTGCAAGAGCCCACTTTTACACAGATTATACTACTTATGAAAGTGTTGTGCAGAACTCATTTTTCATACCTATTATACTATCATTTATAAATGAGTCGCTGAGAGTTAGCCATTAAGCAATGCGACACCAACTAAGTCTTGTCCATTAATTATGTCCCCGTGTTAAACATAAGTGTACACTAGAGGAAAATATATACAATTTGGATTTGTGACTGGAAATATCATGACACAGGGAAATACTAAAGGAGGAAGGGCTGACATCAAAGGAAAGGATGTTCTCCTGCTCCCAAAAATAAAAAAAAAGCGGTCAGACACAATAAAGATGTGCGGGGGGGTATACCGAGCAGGGGGGGGTAGAGTGTGCAGGACTAGTCCCTGCACGTGGTCAGTGTGTATATTTTACTCACAGCTCTATTACCGCCATGTGACAACATCCCCGCCTCTCTGTATCCAGCCCCGCTGCCCACACAGTAACAAGGCCCAGTCAAACTTACACCCTCAGCGCCTTCTCACTCATCTCAGCCGCTTGTTACAGCAAGCAGCCCGACACACAGCGCGAGACACACAGCAAGCTGGCCGCCACTACTAATCCGGAAATAGGTGAGCGTAACAGTGCGCTATCCTATTGCCCTACTCGTCACTTCCGGTGAAGCGGACGCACCGGAAGTGGCGTGGGTCAGCTGGGGGACGGGGGGACGGGGGTGGCGTTGCGCAAGCGCAGAACCACGGGGTAGGGAAAAATTACAGGCAAAATCACTTCCTGTGATCTATCAAATTCCCCTGCCTCGTGAACATCTCCTACCCTCGTCACTACTGCTACGCCTCCACAGCAAGGTCCTGGAAGGTAAGTAAAGCTGGTTTTACACTTTCATTATAGTTAGTGCATTCACTAAAGGACCACTCTAGGCACCCAGACCACTTCAGCTTAATGAAGTGGTTTGGGTGTCAGGTCCCTCTAGGGTTAACCCATTTTTTCATAATTATAGCAGTTTCCGAGAAACTGCTATGTTTATAATAGGGTTAATCCAGCCTCCAAAGCCTCTAGCGGCTGTCTCATTGACAGCCACTAGAGGCGCTTGCGTGCTTCTCACTGTGAAAATCACAGTGAGAGCACGCCAGCGTCCATAGGAAAGCATTGTAAATGCTTTCCTATGAGACCGGCTGAATGCGCGCGCAGCTCTTGCCGCGCGTGTGCATTCAGCCGGCGGGGAAACGGAGGCGGAGGAGGAGGAGGAGAGCTCTCCGCCCAGCGCTGGAAAAAGGTAAGTTTTTCCCCCTTTCCCCCTTCCAGAGCCGGGCGGGAGGGGGTCCCTGAGGGTGGGGGCACCCTCAGGGCACTATAGTGCCAGGAAAACGAGTATGTTTTCCTGGCACTATAGTGGTCCTTAAGCTTAGGACATGGGACATTTAGGGTTAATGTTAGGGTATATCATTGGCAAAAACACTAATCAATAATTTCTACATTAAACATGGCAACCAGCTGACACAACCTTAAGCTCCTCTAATGTAAACTGCCTTATGTTTAGCTTTGTTGTATTTTGTCCTGATGGTAGATTTTATTTATTTTTAAAATGAAGTGTGTGTTTTGATATCTAATATAAAATAGGACATTCTGATATGGTTATATATTAATATCTCAAAAGCGATAAACAACCATCTGAATGTGCTTCACTGTTCTATCAAATTTCCCTAACCGGTGAAATTTCCCTACCCTCGTCACTTCCGGTGACGCGGCTACACCGGAAGTGACATGGATCATCTGGGGGACGGTGTATGAGTTGCTGCGCAAGCGCAGAACCACAGGAGAGGGAAAAACTACAGCCTGAGCTGTGAACGAAATGGCCACCTGATGCGCAAGCACGAAGCTGACCCGCTCGGCACCGGGAGACACTGCGCCTGGAGCCTCAGCTTGCATAAGAGGCAGTGTGCGTGCTGCGCAGGTAGGGGAAAATTATGGGGCAGTGCGCACGCGCACACTGGAACGCTCAAAACTCCTGAACAGGAAACACATGAATGTTGTAAACAGCCAAACAGGAAAAACCATACCAACAGTTTAAACTCCTGGCAGTCACACTGTTACAGCATACAATCCAATTCCCCCCAAGAACAAGACAACACTTTGTTTGAGGATCAAGCAGAACTCATTTACTGGGGCTACCTGCCCGGCTTTTAATGCAGGTCTACCATCTGGTGGACACTCCCCTAGGGGACCAGATGGAAGACTGGGAAACTGTCACGGTTCATGCCGTGACATCCAGTCTGCCAGATGTGGTTGCTCCAGAAGCGCCCGATAGGGGATTTGAACTGGTTCATCTGGACCGTATCCTGCTGTTCTTCCTCTGAGCCATTTCAGGACTTTGGATAACTCATGTTTATTCTTGTATTGCCTGCAGCACTTGGGGGCTGGACTTCACCAAAGGCTCAGATCTGTCAGTAACTCTCCAGCTGAATCTGATACCTAATTAACAAGATATAAAAGCCTGCCTCACCCTGAGAGGGGTGTCAGTTCATTGACTCTGGTTCCCTTGTTTGGTTCCTGTTACGCCATACCTCCGTTCCAGTGATTCCTGTCTAATTCCGGCTTCTGACCTTGGCTTTCCTCCTGGACTACTCTGACTTTTGGCTTCCCTTGACCACGCTTCTGCTAATCCCTGCTGTACTGAGACTTGGAGCACTTTTCCTGGAAAGCCCCTGTGCACAGACTCACAGGCCAGGTGGCGTCTTACCTGGTCACCCTGGTCTGTGTCTACTTTGCAAGGGTGAGTGTATAACTCTGTGAGCTGGACTCCCTATCAGGTAAGACTCCGTTACAGAAACATATTGGACATTGACCAATCACAAGCTTACAATCCCACAATGTATCACAATCCCTCCTCTCTGTCCTGGAGATAAATGGGAAGTAATCCAATTATCTCCAAGGACAGAGGCAAAACTCCATTAACCACATGGCAGACAAAGGACAATAAAAATACATACTGTTACATTTATCACATAGAACATACACATTCTACCTATCCCCAGGTAGCTTAGATCTGAGTACACATTACTACCGGATGGCGCTCAGATCACATACATACAGTTCAATCGCCATGGAGCCAAAGTCTTTTATACAGTCTTTCAGTATACAGCTGGGCTCCATGGCATAGCTATCTGGGGTAGCATGGTTTAAACAGTAAAGTACCGAATGGACCGGTGTTCGGATAATTGACTGCAGGTGGGAGAAGGGAGGTCGGTGGCTCAGAGGTGTTCGTGACTTTAACAGTCCGCAGAAAGGCACGAACCAGCCTTTCTGCAGGGAAAAAGAACAATGTTAAACATGGGGCCATAGTCTAAAGGCAGCAGGCGGGCAACCAGGCTCCTCCAATGCACAGTGGCGAGATTGGTCTCGTCACAAGTATCTCCAAAAAAGACAGAAGGACCAGACACCATAATACAGTTCCTGGGGATACAGCTTGACTCCGTAGTGAAGGAAGCCAGCCTACCACACGACAAATGTTTCCCAGTCTATCTGGTCCCCTAGAGGAGTGTCCACCAGGTGGGTGACCTGCATTAAAGCCGGGCAGGTAGCCCCAGTAAATGAGTTCTGCTTGACCCTCAAACGAAGTGTTGTCTCATTCTAGGGGGGAATTGGATTGTATGCTGTAACGGTGTGACTGCCAGGAGTTTAAACTGTTTGTATGGTTTTTCCTGTTCAGCAAAAACACTAAACTTCCTTAACCTCTGAAACCTCACTGCAAGCCAAGTCATTTGTCCCTAGATGGACAAGTACATCCAATTCCTCTTCCTGCTTTGCTTGCTTAACAATATTACAGATACGTCTCTGTGAGCAGTAGCTCCGGGAAGACACCTCACAAGACCACCATTGTCCATCTCCACACCTCTTATAATCGAATCCCCCAACAACAAATGCTTTCTATTAGGCCTCACCATAGTCTCCGTGCCTCTCTCCACAAAACCACTCGCCTCCGTGCCTCTCTCCACAACACCATTACACTCTGAAAGTGCAGAAAATTAATTATGTAGAGTAACAGACTGTGTGCAAAATGCCTTTTATCCACAACTCTAAGTCTACCAGATCCTACAGTAATCCATCTGCCATTCCTAGTATGTCTCTGCGGCAGTGGCTTTGCAGCAGTTCCAGTCTGCGTTTGTTCACCAGATAATGTACAAATCTCAGACTTCAAAAATACAATCTCCTGCCGCAAGATAGAGAACTGTCTACAGATTAGACAACAACCAAATCTCCAAAAAGTAGAACGTGAAACAAATGCATAGGAACTGTTACACTGAACTAAGTCTGCCATTCCAATGAGGACAATAATTTAACTCAAACTAATCTTAACTTTTTTTTCTTTATCCTCCTGAATAACTCAGATTACCTCCAGAATATCTCCAACTACACACTTAGAAGCAACACGTAGATGAAGCAACCAGCATTCGTGTGTTTCCTGTTCGGGAGTTTGGAGCATTCCCCTGGTTCCAGTGTGCGCATGCGCACTGCCCCGTAATTTCCCCTACCTGCGCAGCACGCACACTGCCTCTTATACAAGCTGAGGCTCCAGACACAGTGTCTCCCGGTGCCGAGCGGGTCAGCTTCGTGCTTGCGCATCAGGTGGCCATTTCGTTCGCAGCTCAGGCTGTAGTTTTCCCTCTCCTGTGGTTCTGCGCTTGCGCAGCAACTCACACACCGTCCCCCAGCTGATCCATGTCACTTTCGGTGCAGCCGCGTCACCGGAAGTGACGAGGGTAGGGAAATTTCACCGGTTAGGGAAATTTGATAGAACAGTGAAGCACGTTCAGATGGTTGTTTATCGCTTTTGAGATATTAATATATAACCATATCAGAATGTCCTATTTTATATTAGATATCAAAACAAACACTTTATTTAAAAAATAAATAAAATTTACCATCAGGATAAAATACAACAAAGCTAAACATAAGGCAGTTTACATTAGAGGAGCTTCAGGTTGTGTCAGCTGGTTGACATGTTTAATGTAGAAATTATTTTCTTAGATCTCAGCTTTGAATTTATAAAAAATAAGTCAGATCAGATACTTCCCATAAGGTCATGCCAAATGCGCTTGTGTCTTGAGAACGTTTTTAGAACAAAATGCATAAATGCATCGATGAGCTACTGACAATTTGTTTTTGTTTTTTGTCTGTCATCACAGTTGTGCTTTTTTAATCATGGTGTTGAGAGTGTATCATTAATTTTTTTTTAATCTCATACAATACAATGCGAAATACATGAGTGTGGATTTTGTGTTTTGGTTGTCCACCATTAGTTTTCTGCAGGAAGTGAACCAGCCAGTTATATTTCATTAATTTTCTATGCCAGTACTTTGCTTATACCATACATCTTTGCACACTTTACAGGCACAGTTTGGGTTTGTGAGAGCTGCAGTTACATTGTGCACATTTTACTGTATAATTCTAATAACGGTTCTACAAATGCCAGAAATCTTTGCTGTGGAGCCTCTCAGAATAAGAAACTGATGATATTGGGTACAACTATATAATTGTACAGCACTGCAAGATATGTTGGCACCTTATAAATGCCAATAATAAATACATAAAACTGTATTGTTAGAGCAAAAAAGAAGTTACTGCAGGTTGGGAGGCAGGGATAGAAACTGGGGGTTTATGGTCCAACATGGTTATTGGAAAAATAATCCCATTTCTCTTGGAAATGGGATTATTTAAAAGTTGCACTATTGAAGGCAACAGAAAATTGCATTAGGCTTGTCAGTAAAAGCAAAAAAAATCAAGAAACCACTGTGGTACTCCACAGATGTGGCCAAAATAGTTAAAAACAAAAAGTTAGCATTTAGGAATTATAAAAA